CTCCTGTCTTTGTTAACAGGTTACACCTGTCTCTGTTAGCAGATTACTCCTGTCTCTGTTAGCAGATTACTCCTGTCGTTGTTACCATGTCACTCCTGTCCCTTTTTGTGATGCGAGCTGTATATCCACTGCTTTCTTTAACTGATTGGCTAACAATTTACCAGTCGTGTCACGTAGAATTGTTATTGAGTGCTGCAGCGAAAACTCTGACTGCTCAGGCTGAAATGAAAGCTCAGGCTGGGCATTTAATTTGTCGTTCACCTCAAAGATCGCTTGGCTTTAGGTATTTATCTCTTTCGAGCAGTTTGTAAATCAGATCCTGAGCTCTACGTACCCTTTTCTACTGCCTCCCAGTGACATGACTAATTGTCATCTCTCCCGGCTGGTCCGTGCAGTCTTATCTGATTGGTCAGGACTGCTTCACCTTCCTGTCTCACTGTTTGGTTCATCCACCAGTGAACTGTTAGTGAACATCTATTACAGGGTTTTAGATGAACACCCACTGGGGGAGAGCGATTGGGTAAAATCTGTTTTATTTCAACAATAGCTTTTGGCTTATGTTGCTATACACATTTGCCAAGATTTTAACAGCCAACAGACTTGACCAAATCTTAAGTAAATGGATGTGATTCTGAACCCTATGCGGAGCAAATCTTTCAACATGCTTTTTACAACAGGAAATCCTCACTTCGCTTAATGATTGGAGCAGACCTGACCTAATGAATGTTAGGACATTTTGGATTATTGTGTTCTGTTTGAGTGTGCACTTAAATAACCGCAGAGCAATAGTGACATGAAATGGATTAATTTAAAGATGTAAACACTTGGATAAGTGCACAGGAACAAATTCATGAAACTGTCTGAATGGAGGAAGATAGGACTTAGCTCCCATCAACGAATGCACCTATTGGACACTCAAAATAGAGGCATTAAGGGGTATAACAAAATGGTAGGGCACTGGGATTTAAAGATCTGACTTCCCACCCACTCCAACCCCCCCCCCCCCACCTCCCCCCCCCACCCAGGTGGTGTACCACAATAAGTATGCTTTACCTGCCTCCACGACATTGCCCGCCTCCACCCATCACCACAGGCTGCCAAGACACCTATCCACACTTTCATCACGTCCCAGCTTGACTACGCCAACTGCCTGCTCGCTGGACTTTCCAACTCTTCTCTCCACAAGCTGCAGATTATTCAAAACTCTGCAGTTCGTGTTCTCTCCCACACCAGGCTCTATGAAGCAATCACCCCCGTTCTTTCCCGGCTTCACTCATCCCTCAGAGCATCAAGTACAAAACCCTTGTTCTCAACTTCCAAGCCATCTACTGTCTTTCTTCCTCCTACCTTTCTGACCCCCTAACCCCATATCAGCCTGTCCAGTCCCTCTGCTCGGCAGACACCGGCCTACTTCAGGTTACCCACACTTCCCACCCTACCATTGGCGGTCGGCCATTCAGCATCTCTGCCCCCATACTCTGGAACTCTATCCTGCAATCCCTCTGCCTCACTACCTCTCTTGCCTCCTTCAAGTCCCGTCTAAAGACCTTCCTCTTCGTCGTGCCTTTAGACTTGCCTGGATATAATAAAGACAATCCCAATTTTTTTAAAGATACCCCAAAATGTTGTACCATTTAACTAAATTATAATTCCCCTGTATATTCTAGTTTTAATCCACTTGACGCTGAGTGCTATGCAGAACCATACATTAGCCAGCAAATATTTAGCCTTCTATCTTAGACTATTAGTTGCCCTACAGCAATCCCTAACAACTGACAGAATGTGCAACAGTGAAGCACAGAATAAAGTAACATCCACTTAATTCCCCTTATGGCCCAGAGGCCTCCTCTCCCTTGAGCAGCACCAACAAAGAAGCAGTAGGGATAGCAAGATTTTTTTCATACTAACTGTGCCCTCCTGTGTGGAAATGCCTGCAGGTCCATGAAAAAGCCTGCATAACTAGCCCATATCAAGCCTGCATGAGGCTGTCAACCTTTCTCCCAGCAGCATTAACCAGTTTTTCCATTCTCTGTGTCATTATAATGACCAAATATTTCTTCTCTTGCCTTTTACTTTGGGTTCCCAATATTTGTCCACCTGCAGAGCAACTTGAACCCTATTCTATGATTATTTTAATGCTTTCTAGTAATGGGCTTTGGCTCTCTGCCTCCAATGACCTTGACTTCTACATAAAAGTGCATTGAGGATTCACTCCTGCTTATTATTCCTATCACAGACCATACCATATCAAGCCCAAGCTTAAATATCATTAGAACTGGAGTTCCTCTCATTAACTGTGCAATTACTTTTATCTCCTGAAAAAAACAGGCCTTGACCCCCCTCCCACATACACACACTTTCTCTCTCTCCCAGATGTCATCACAAAGATCTTGTATGGCTGAACTTCACCGAGACTAAACTAGCATTCTGTGTTAAAGTTGACTGCAAAACTGAAACTTTACTTAAATGAACCATGTTAAAGGCAGGGAGAGAGAAAGGGAATCAAGTATGTTTTGGAAATGAGGGCAGAAATGGAGTAGCTCATTCTTCAGCCACCAATGATGGGGTAGAGGGCATGAGGAATAGACCAGAATCAGAGAAAATATGGTGAACAGGAATTTCAGTGGTAATCATCAAGTGTCCACCTGAAAACCAGAAGGTGTCAAGTGTTAGGCTAAGAGTAATTCTCTCAGTTGCCTTTGCAGCATCTTACATGCCCGTTCAATCTCAATTGTTAGGCACTCAGCAGTCAGATTTTAAAATGGCTGCAGAAGTGTCTGAACAAAATTAGGAAGAGGAAAGTCTTCTTTATGTAATTCTGGTGCAACTGCAAGCTCCAGGTTATTCCATCTAGAACAAATTGTCAGCTCATTATTTCTGAGTTCAATGGTTCCTATTTTTTTTCTTTTAAATTTCCATCTCACTAAAGGCCTTTGACATCCAACTCCTCTTATCAGTGACAATTTTCTGCCTCAAACTACTCTTGGATAATTAAGCCAATATAATTTGAAAGGCTCTTGATCTACAGTGATGTTGCTGCCCATGTACCCAGGATCATTTGTTTTATAGCTAGTACAGCTAGTACTGCTGTGCACAATTGGCCATCGCATTTCGTCCACAAATATAGAGTCACTACAATTTAAGGTATATTCTGTGAAGCGCTTTGTGTCATCTAGAAGACGTGAAAGGCGCTATATCAATTGTAAGGATTATTATTACTTTAATGTTCCACTCCAACTCTACATTGCTGTTGTACATCAGGAAAGCTGGTTCGTCAGGTATTTTGAGGATAAGTATAGCTCTATTTATCTAGTGGATGTATATTTCCACTTATAGGAGTGTGTGTCTTGCCTTTTCCCTGGTGTTAGGAATATAAGTGAGATACAATATGTGGTTAATGCACATCCATCTGTCTGTTTGGTTGGTCATTAACGATCCCATTGCACTATTTGAAAAAAGAAGGGAGATTCTCCTGGTATCCTGGCCAATAATCCTCCAGGTAAAGGTCACCCACTTCATGGCTGTTTTGTAGGAGATTGCTGTGCACAAATTGGCTGTCAAATTGGTTTGTTTACAAATAAACTCACTTCACAGTAAATGATTTAAACTCTTTGAGATATTTTAATAATGTGATAGGACACTTATATCAAATGCAAGGATTAATATTGTCATTATTTTTATGTTTCAGTACCTCACTGTGAATTGTTGTAAACTTTTTTTGCTGACTAAAACATCTGTCGCCAAGTAAAATGATTTACTAACTCTTTCGGATTGAGCATTTCACACAGCACTCATATAATTGCAAAGACAGACAGCACCTGTTGAGCAGCAAATTCAGTGTTTTGACTCGTATGGAAACAGCCATATGTTAAGACAGCACATAGGACTGGAAAAATCCATTGTGGTCTATCCAACTAACCATATTTTACAGATCAGAACCTAGTGAACTGTTTAGTGGAACTGGATTCTGGAATATCCCTGAAATCTTTCAACTAGAATAATACACAATCTCGTTACACAATTATTTCAGACATATAATTTTAGAGGTGGTACTTTTTCCTTTCCAGATATCAATGTTTAAATTTAATACTGTCAAAGGCAGCATGTCCTTTCCATCTCCTATAATTTGCAGAATTATTTCTATCTCATAAGCATTCAAAATAGATCATGTCTGCAAATGCATTGCATGGTTCAGTTAGTAGCTTTCTTGCCTCTGAGTCAGAAGGTTGTTGATTCAAGCGCATGGGATTTTGAGATTTATAGTCTAGGTTGATATTTCAGTCAGTGCTGTGGTTGAACTAGAAAGAACCAATATATGTAAAAGAAAGCCTGATGTACACATGAGAAAGAAAGAAATAGATGGGAATGAGAAAGGGGATTAGGCGGGTTAAGGCTCATGTGGAGTATAAACACCGGCATGGACTAGCTGGGCTTAATGGCCTGTTTCTGTGCTGCAATGTTCTTAGTAATTCCACATAAAACTGAAAGTTTAATCTCATCAACAACAACAACTTGCATTTATATAGCGCCTCTCACGCAGGGTAGCGTCCCAGTCATTCTGTGTATTCAGAGTTTGGCTGTAAACCATCCTTCCCAGTATATTATTTCTTATGCAAACAATTGAAGGAAGATTACAGTGTTATTAATGATTTCTTTATTTAAAATATCTTCTGAATGTTCTTAACTAGATTTATAAAATATACTTAGGTTGGTGCAAAATATTTCAATTAACTTACTGTTTGCAAGACACAGTAGTGTGCAATGGGCTGCCGCATTTCGCCCATAAAATACAGTCAATTCACTTTACAGTGTATTTTGTGAATCACTTTGAGACATCTCGAAGACATGATAAGGCATTATATCAAATCCAAGGATTATTATTACTATTAATGTTTGGTCTTCTGTTTACATTCACTTAGAACATTTCTTACTAAGCATTAATTTGCTTTGAAAGCCCTATGAAATGAAATATAATTGCATTTTGATCCCTTCTTTTGCAGTTTATCGCCTTCGCCTCACTGTTCTTCATCCTGGTCTCCATCACAACCTTCTGCCTTGAGACGCATGAGGCATTTAACACAATTGTTAACAAAACGGAACTTGTACACACTGGGAATTCATCTAAAATCGTCCACCAGTTAGAGATGCAAACTGACCCAGCCCTGACATACATTGAAGGCGTCTGTGTGGTGTGGTTTACCATTGAATTTTTGGTCCGAGTCATGTTCTGCCCTGACAAGCTTTTATTTATCAAAAACCTTCTGAATATAATTGACTTTGTGGCAATTTTGCCATTTTATCTGGAGGTGGGACTCAGTGCACTTTCCTCTAAGGCTGCAAAAGATGTTCTGGGCTTCCTCAGGGTTGTTAGATTTGTCAGAATTCTGCGAATCTTCAAGCTAACCCGTCACTTTGTGGGACTCCGAGTGCTTGGACATACTCTTCGTGCTAGCACGAATGAATTTTTACTCTTAATTATTTTCTTAGCTCTAGGCGTGTTAATATTTGCTACTATGATTTATTACGCGGAGCGAATAGGAGCCAATCCAAATGATCCAACGGCCAGCCACCACACCCAGTTCAAAAATATCCCCATTGGATTCTGGTGGGCAGTCGTGACTATGACGACACTGGGATATGGCGACATGTATCCTCAGACCTGGTCAGGCATGTTAGTAGGAGCACTCTGTGCTCTTGCTGGTGTGCTTACTATAGCAATGCCTGTACCTGTTATTGTCAATAATTTTGGAATGTACTACTCACTGGCCATGGCAAAGCAGAAACTTCCGAGAAAGAGAAAGAAGCACATCTCTAATGCTCCTCAAGCCGGGTCTCCAACATATTGTAAAACGGACATGAATACACCTTGCAACAGCACTCAGAGTGACGTCTGCCATTATGGGAAAGATAAACTGGAGCGTAACAGATCAGGTAAGATGAAGGTATAGTAAGCCAAAGATCAATGGTAAGATCCCTTTATCGACCAGTCCACTCACTGCAGTTAAAAAGAGGCTGAGGCATATACCCAATTGTTTTAAAAAGTTACATTCTCTAACTTTTTAATCTGAACTGTGAACAAATCTCTATAAAGTAGCGATATTATTTTAAAGCAGATTAACCCAATGCTATCAGGCCTTTACTATCATGTAAACAGTGTGGATATTACGAGTTGGGTGGAGGATGAGAGCATTGGAATTCAATATCTTACCAATTATTGCCTTTACAGCAACAACAACTTGCATTTATATAGCTCCTCTCACGCAGGGTACTGTTACTGATTGCTTAAAACAGTCATCCTCATTTCTTTTCACAAAAAGCGCAGGTATAATTCAAACATACTAACCCAGTGTCCCTTGCAGTAATGCATTTCACAGTGACTGAAATAAGTCTTTAAAGTTTGAATCATTGGCTTGACTTTAAAAAAATCCAAATATATTCATCCAAAATGATTTTGGGCTGCAAAGCAACTCTTTAACCAGGTTACATATTTAATTGGCCAAATATAATAATATTCACATAAAACTAAAAGAGACAAAAACTACCTGATTCAATATTGATACTTAAAACAATTTAGTATTCATAACTTGGAAACCAAGTTATATCTCTGTGGAAATTGTTGGGTCATAAAATCTTTTGAGAGGCAACTCTATGTGAAATCTGGTATAAACTCAGACTGAGCAATTCTGAGCATTCTATATGATTATTACACTGTTTCCTTCCATTGAGAAAACAATCGCTCAACAATAAAATAATAATAAAAATAAGCTAAACATAAAAATAACTTGCAAGACAAACTCAGATTTGCAACATAGATATAACAATTTTTCAATTAATCTATCATGGGTTTCAAGTTTGCAGTGTTTCAGTGATTGTATTATGAAACATTGCTAACTTTATTTCCTGATTATTTTTAATTATCTTCAAAAGTAGGTTGCTGAGAAAAAAGGATACACATAAGACTCCACTGTAGATTCATAGAAGATACACTCAGAAACAAGCAATTCAGCCCATCCAGGGCCAAACCTCAGGCAGGTTTCCTTACTCCACACACATGCCTCTGTTTATCTAGAAGTAAGTAGGAACTCGCTTATTAGTTGATTGGCGGATTCCTTTCGCCCCCACTAGGAAAATAAAAATAATGTGCTCATTCAATCCATGACTGTTTGTGAGACACTGCTGTGCGCAATTTGCTGCTGCGTTTTGCCCACAAAATACACTGTTCCTACACTTTACAGGGTATCCTGTGAAGAGTTTTGAGACATCTCAAAGACATGATAAGGCGCTATATCAAATGCAAGGATTATTATTATTATCCAGTCCAGTTGGTGTCTTTACTCCATCTGAATGCCTAGCCTAGATTTCCTACGTAGACCCATATCCTGACTTTTCCCTGTACGCTCCAACTTTATTCTCTCTTAACCATGTGCCCAGTCTGTTTTTTTGAATGTGCACATGGGTGTAGCCCAACAACTGATGGTGGCAGAGAATTTCATACTGTGTGAAAAGTTTCTCCCAATCTCTCTTCTGGACCTCCTAGTTCTAATTCTGAAGCTGTGCCCTCTAGGTCTAGATGCCCTGACCAATTGAAATAATTTTTCCATCGCCACCCTATCTAACCCTCCCATCATCTTAATATACCTGATATGAATCCTGAATTTATTATCGTGATTACTAAAATCAAGCAGGCTAATGTCAAATAGATCTGTGTTTTACTTGTAAAAATATAATGAGACCAATATTCCTATCAGTCTGCTTCTGGAAGATAAACTTTACAGTTTACTTTGTGTCATAATGAAGGACACTTCTTTATAGAGCACATTTGCCCCTGATGTGTTCACAGATTTGAGAGGGAATGGTCTATATCCTAATCAACAGCTGCATTGCTAGCAGTGTGCATGATGTGGTACTAAGTGTGTGATTGCCTTGAAAAACTGGATGTCAAATGTGCATGTATTGTGTCGCAGTCTGTGATGATGTCACTTAACTCCGCCAACAGTCTGGTGTTGTCTTTGTATGTGACGTTATCAATGTATGTGACATTTTCAATGCTTCGCTGTGCCTCCTCAGATTTTTTTATATACGTAGATATATAACGTTAACATTGGAAATGATCGCCACAGATTTGCATGCCGCTGTGTTATGAATTTCGATTGTGCACTGTATTTTTTTTGAACTAGCGATATGCATTCGGAAACTATAAATAGACTGGTGATGTGAATAGTGTTGTCAGGTGAAGACAGTGCAGGAAGTGACCAGCCACTATCCCCCGAAGAAAGGCTACCAATCAGACGTTCTAGCGCCAGGGACAAAAGCAGAAGAGGGGGAACGTGTTTCTTGCTGACTACAGGTGACTATGCGTGCACTACCGATGGAGGGATCAGGAAAGGTACGCATTCCTTCTTAGAAGGCTAAAAGTTTAGGCTTTTAGAATAATTCTACAGTCTAATCCAGGAAATTTAGTACATTTTCAATGCTCAGTAGGCTGTGGCCAGCTCCACATTCCCTGCCCTGCCTGTCTCATCATCGGCGGTTGAGCCTTCAGCCTTTCTGCTCCCAGTCTTTGGAACTCCATCCCACATTCCCTTCGCCTCACTCCGTCTCTTACCTCTTTCAAGGTACTTTTTAAAACCCTCCCCTTCAACCGCGCCTTCGGCTACCCTCCTACCATCCCTGCCCTCCAGCTCAGGTCCAAGTCCCTGACATTCCAGTGTCTTGGAACATCCTCCCGATGTCAAAAGTACTTTACAAATGTAATTTTGTATTGCATTTATTTTTCTACCATACTTTCTACACAGTCACCTTCCCTTGTAATTTATCAGCGTGTGAACATTCTTCTGGCCTCCTATAAGAGTGCTCCGATCTACTCTTAAATTAGATTAGTTTGACTTCTCACATATCCATCTGCTACCAGTCGGTGCCTTATGTATTTCCCAGACGTTGTAGGAAATGCTCACGGTTAAGATTTTAAGTATAAAACGTGTGTTTTGCTTGAATAATGTTATGCACATCTATTAGCATAAAATATCATCTGCCAAGCTAAATGTTCATGTTATATGTGTGTTTTTTTCAATGTTTAAGTGAACATGTAAGTCCAATTTACATAAAATGGAACAGTTCCCAGAGTAGTTAAATTTGTAAGCACTTTTATATGTTTTCTTCGGTAGTCACAGTTAACCATATTATAAAAGTGATTCCAAGCAGTTTCTGATGCCTGTCTCACCTTTTTATTGTTCCTATAGTAACCGCTGTAAAGCAAAGAGGTGTCTTAAAAATGAAAAGCTTGTTTGATTGCATTGCATTTTTTTGTTGTGTTGTTTCCATGGCCGTTAACTGATACAAACTGATGTCTGTGCATTTTTTTCGCAAAAGGGTATGAAAAGTCCAGGAGCTTAAACAACATAGCTGGCTTGACTGGCAATGCTCTAAGACTGTCTCCAGTAACTTCACCCTACAGCTCACCTTGTCCCCTGAGACGTTCTCGATCACCCATCCCATCTATACTGTAAACAAGCTTAGAGTAATTTACCTTCTACAATGCATTATAAGAAAATTAAAATAGCAGCTTTAAGTGTAGATCTGCTGGTAAGATATAAAACCTGCATGATATAACTGTAAATATAAAATATGGCATAATTAGATGAATCTTTGCATTTAATCTTTGCAAAGTAACGCTTCTTGCTTACCTGTTAATTTTAATCGCATTACTGTTGAAAATTGAGGGCATTTAGAAGATTGGCCAGTATGTTGAAGGGCAAGTGTTTTTTCAGGGAGATACTGAATACAAATATGTGCTTCCAAATGATTATCACTCCATTGGAACTCCATTTCTGTGACTGATCCATTTCGAAGATGTCTTGACTCCTGTCTCAGTCCACGCAGTGTGGCTTGGGTTAAATCATTTGCATGGAACATTCTGTCACATCGTCTGCAAACAATGTGCACTTTCTGGGACGTGGATGGCTCTGGATATATGTGTGTATTGCACCATTTGCTGAACAAGGCATTGGCCAACTGTCCTGCATGTTGGAATTTATTGGTATTCTATTGCTGCAGATGAGTAATGAAGTGTAAAGAACTGAGTGTTTTCGATTGTTTACATGCAGATAACTGCAAAGATGTTGTCTTTACTGGTTTCACGCAAGCAGAGACAAGCACTCATTCTTAATGGCTACAGGAAGGCACAAACCTGAAAAGAGGTAACATATCCATCATCTGGGGTAACATTTCAATCCAACAAGAAGTGGTGGTTGAGCTGGTTTAAAAAATAACCATACCAGACATCCCTATTCATGTCTAAATTATTGACATATATGTATGTACCTGTTATCTAGATGAGTTACTATGTGTATATAGTTCTATTCCTATAAGCATGATCTGCATGATAAATCCTTGTAAAATATGTATCAATGGAAATATACATTTCTGATATTTAGAGATGTACATTGTTCAATTTTGTTAACCTCATCGACAAAGATATTTATTTTAAAGATTTCGGCAATGGATTTAATATAATATCGGTGCTGCTTGCACTGACCGAGGGGGTTATCAAGGAGTTTAGATTTTTGAAAAGAAAAGGGATTTTAGCCATAATGAGAACTTTTCTAGAAAATGATGCAAGATTGTAGAGGTGAAACTTTGTTTTAAAGATTAAACTGTGAGGAATTGAGTTGAATTGTTCATGAAGTAAATAAGTGGGGAAATGGATGAGCTAACTTTAAATAATGTGTAAAGGGGATATGGGGTGTTGTTGACTTTGTACTGAGGCAGGATATAGTTATGCTGAAATTGGTCATTACTGAAACTGTATAAAACATGTATATCATTGATAATAACAATGTTTTTTTCTGTATTACTCCTGTTCCCTGCAATAAGTCTACACTTAGTGCTATAGACGTGAAAAAGAACGCAATTACAGGAGACACTGCTGGAATAATATTTAAGAAAATCATTTGGCATTTAATCATACCCATCTTGAATTATTTTCTGCTATTTTTGTGAAGTCGTTAATATAAAATATTTTTGTGCAATTTTGTTACAACCTATTGTTATTGTTCAATATTTTATGTTTGTGAACATATGAACATATTAAACATTTATTTTTTAATTTACTGTATGTTTTTGTGGTTCTGTCATGTAAATAATGTGGGTGCTGTCCACAAGTGGTGAGAAAGACCTTTAAAATATTTTTCTCACATTAATGGTGCTCTTCGCATTTAAAAGGATGAGCGAAAAAGCATCACTCCTCAGTAGTTGTTTCAAAATGATCCTGTTACTAATATTACTAATATTACTAATTACTAATTTACTAACAGTTGTAGACAGGATAAAAAGACACATGTTAGATTCTTACATCAGATGGCACAAATCTCAGGAAGATTAGAGTCAAGCACAGTAACTCTTTCAAACAAGAGGGAGCAATGCTTCTAATCCAGCATAAAGACCAGAGGCCGAGGGCAGAACAAAATAAGCCAATGTTTATGTCACAGGTGGAGCTGACCACACCCTAACCCTAACTCTAACCCTAACTTAAGCAGCTCGTGTTTGATTGCAAAAAATGGGTACAAGCCAACAAATATATACCATTTCAGATCAGGATATGTCAAACAATATAAAAAAAAGCCACAGTAATCTTAACATGTTTCAATGTGACATTTAATGACATTTTGAGTTCAGAGATGTGACATCTTTTCAAAGAAAAACATCATTGATTCTGCCACTGATCTGTTGGCTGTGACCCTGGTTTTTTGGGGGGTATTTTAAGTTTCCTATTCATTGTTGCGCAGAGTAGTTATGTTGCTGTTATGTGGGTTATTTAATGCTTGTTTACTCCGTGTCATAAGTAAGGTGATCAAAGTCAATTTGTGATTGTATAGATAGAAAGAGGATAATTTGGATTGTTTAAGTGTGGAGTGCAATTATTTTGGAGAAGATCACATCCTATGAATGATAACTCCTAGGCTGAATAATAAAGCTCATGGTACAAATGTACAAATGAGGAGATACAGTGTGATACAGTGCAGCCATTTCAATATCCCTTTCAATTTGTCAACCTTAAACAGTGTGGACAAACGTACAGCAACAATCCCTAATGTGGCTTCATTCCCTGATGTAGCTTTCCTCAGAGAAACATGCAAACCGAAAGAAATAAAGTCACTTAATCCAGTCAACACTACTCTAGGTTGATGCATGTTTTGATTAAGTCATCCATGCGAGCGGCAGCTGAGGATATTTCTATCATCCACATATACTTCAAGACTCGCTATATATATTACAGGGACGAAAGTTGTACAGCCAAAGGTATGCAGGCTTGAATATTGGATAGATTATGCAGACTAACAATAATCAATAATCACTAAAGTAATAAGAAGACTACAAGATGACCGTCCTCTCAGATAAGTCGTATTAGTTGTATTATCTGTTTGTTGATGTCCTGGTTCTATGTGTAAATGTAATAAGATTCCTCACGGATCGCTCCTGAGTGTACTGCGAGAACCTACTTCACAATTTTCGCCATGAGAAATGGACAGGAATAAAAAGTGAGACTAATTGATGCACAAATTAGTTCACCTGAACAATTGCTACTAAAATGAAAGCGTTTTTTAATCAAGAATTGTTTTTCTTAAAATCAAAACCATTCAGTAACATTTTCAAAATTTAAAATTGGTCTGACAAATGTTAACTCCACTTATTTGTTTTAATTCAACTTTAGAAAATACATCTCATTTTAACTCACATCTAAAGCAATTGGAATCGCACATGAATAACATAAAAAGGCAACTATATGGGTGCAAGGCCGTTGTCTTTGTCTTCTCAACAGCCGAGTTCCTCAAACACTCTCTGTACTGTTAACCATTTCAATTACATCTGTCCTGTTTCTAAAGACCTAGATCACCTCATGGCATTTTTAATTTCTGCCTCAGGGAGCCGCTCACGTTGTTCTTAACCTTTCAGTGGTCAGAAATATTCAGACACATAAGATGTACACAATAATTAAACAAGGTACTGAACTCTGAGAAGATGCCAAGAAAGTGAAAAATCTACTAATGTTCTGCATAACTGAAACTTTAGACACATGGTGCATTACCAACCCGAAAAGCACATCTAACTCGCAACATGCAAAGCCTTTCAGCTCTATGGCTAAAACTTTCAGTTCCCAAGTTCAGTAACGCTACACTTCCTGAGTTCAATAACACTGCACTTCATGATTTTAAAAGCATTGCAATATCTGAATTTATGGGTTATTCTTGTTTCCATTAACTGGCAGCTTGTACAACAGCAACGGATTAATATTTCAACTTACATTTTTGATCTTAAAATCATTCCCCAGTTCTACCATAACCTTATTTAAGAATTTTCCTTATTAGATCATTGAAGCGCTTTGAGATGTCGCGAAGACTTGAAAAGGCGCTGTATAAAATGCAAGAATTATTATTGCTTTTATTATTTTATTTATTATATACTGATTTAATATTTGGTGAATTTCATTTAAAAAAAGGAAGGATGTCATGCCGATGTTTGAGAAAGTTTCATGATGTACTTTTGAGGCAAAGTTCACATTAGTTGCTGTGACAGGCATTAGAGTTACCCAAACGAGTCCTCACTTTGTCTCCATGAGAAACATTACCAAAAGAAATCACTGTTCTTTGAACCCTTTATCAGCCTAACTTGCTGTATTACCAATGTATTACCAATATCCTTAAATATTATAGACCCACCAATCTGGAAATTCCACTCCAGAAGTAGCTCAAATCTGCCAGCGATCTGATGGTTACCAGAAGGAGCCTTTCCCTCAGATTCCTTAGAAAGGAATCCGATTAAGAAATATCCCAAATGAGACTATTTTCAAACATTTTGGTGATGTTTCCCTGTCTCCTTTTCACACCCATATGTTTTGGCTCACATTCCGTCTGGACATTGGTAGTGAGAATCTTTTGCCTTGTCATTGATGTAGGAATAACAATGTCATATTATTATGACAAAATTCCTGTTAACTCATTCCCAAGTAATTATTTTCAGACTTTGGATCCACACTCAGTTAATCTAAATTTCAAAGATTCATGAAGCTGAACTCCACATTTATCTAAAAAATTCACACCTACTGGCAGAGATTAACAAAGAGTAGTGAAATATTAAACAGACACTCAGGACTTTAAATAACAGGAGATGGAGCAGACAGTGGTGTAAATTTCCAAATAGAAACAAAAGTTAGAGACCATAGGTATTCAGATAATAGCTTTATCTAAAGCACAATAGAAGAAAATCATTCTGGTGTCAATTAACGAAACTGTAAGATCCTGAAACTAAATATTTGAACGTTGCTGTGAATATTCTGCTGAATTTCCAAATTTTTTGTGAAATAACCGAGGCATGATATTTTCCTGCATTATAATAATAATAATCCTTGCATTTGATATAGCGCTTTTCAAGTCGGGAGGACGTCCCAAAGCGCTTCACAGAACACACTGTAAAGTGAATTGACTCTATATTTGTGGGCGAACGCGGCAGCCAATTACGCACAGCAATGTCCCACAAACAGTCGTAGATTGAAAATGACCAATTTATTATTGTTTTTGGTTTTGGAGGGATTATTATTAGGCGTGTGGAGTAAGGAAACTTGCCCAAGGTTTCGCCCTCTGCCTGGAATTGAACTCAGGTCTCTCACTTGCAAAGCGAGTGCTCTAACCACTGAGCTACAGGACTGCACAAATCATTCAAATATAAGCTCACATCTCTTCAGTTTTAATCAATTGGTACGCTTACATTCTGTTTGTGCCAGGACTTCTAGAAACATACTGCTCAGCTCCATTACGTTGGATTCTCTTCATCAAGTAAGTACTTATATTATTTCATGTGTTTTATCTGTATAGAGAAAGCCACACAGATGTGCAAGTAGTAACAAGTTACATTGGCTTAGAGGATGAAGATAAACAGCTCAAATCTTCTGACAAACTCCTAGCTATCTACTAACCTTGAATGTCACGCTTTAAATACTGAACCACATTCAACTATCAGTTTATAAATTCTGAATTTTAGATACAATATAGATTGGTTACTTTCACTTTCTGGCATACAACTCCTTCTCAATATCCCACATCAATTGATCCATGCTCTAGCCTCAAATTAGTGGTCTCTTTATACATTCCCTTACAAAACCACTAGACCTCTTGAGGAAGGGATATGCCATACATATTTTATATATTTTATTTACTGTATATATCTTCAGACTCTTTGCCCCGCACCCTCTGGAACTCCATCCCACATTCCCTTTGCCTCATTCCCTCCCTTGCTTCCTTCAAGGCATTCCTCAAGATCCTCCTCTTCGACTGTGCCTTCGGCCACCCTCCTCTCCTCTCTACCCTCCACCCTCCCTTATCCCACCCTCCCTAACAAGGATCTTGTTATGAGGAGTTTACTGTGTATCAATAGCAGTTGTAGGATATGATCTAAATACATACATAATTCAACAAAGTATTAGATTAGTAATGATACATTCAGAAATTCTCAACTCTGTCAGCGTCAAAATAATCCCCTGAATTTTTCTTCACATTCAGTGCTACAGGATCAACCAATATTTTGATCATAAGCTTGTGCATTTGGGTTACCTTCTGCATGATTATTCCGCTGCTCTTTCAAAAGCTTGAGTGAAGTGAGTCAGCGACTATAAATAAAAATCCTTTGAAGCATTTTCTGTAGAGTTTTCATATTATTATTTTTCTTGTGATATTCCCCCTTCAGCCTTGCTTGTCTAGCCTTTTTTTTATTGTTGAAACCATTGATCCTACAATGATCAAACATCTCTCCCATTTTCATGTGGTATAATAGCATGACTGAAACGACCAATTCTGAAAGTCCCAGTTTGAATCAATAATATATAAGAGTTGTTTTAATGCCTCCGATATTCCATTTACTCTGAAAACCAGCAGCAAAGCGACCTGGATTCTGTGTGTATTTCGGTGCCTACAGGGTTTTCTGTTTCACAACATAAGTGATGAGATTATTTTGAC